CCTTTCGAGTGAATTGTTTCATCTACAAGCAGACTAAAAACATAAAACTAACACACTTTTCTCTCGACTGCAAAAATATCAAAATGTTCAGTCGAAACTCGAAAATTATGATAAAAATTTTTGCAAAAACCAGGGGGGTGAAGGATTTTACTTCAAGCGTAGGATCGCGGTTGGCCAGTGGTAATTGCCATGAGCCGGAGGAACCAATTGGCGTCAGCAAACATGAAAATCCGCCATGTTTTTCCGGACACTCGTTTGACTGAAGGATAGATAGGAGCACGTCCTCCAGTAATATTATAGCTCAGTGGTCGCATTGTTTGGTGACGTTATTTTGATTACCTAACGAACTTTTCATTACGCTATTCGCGCAAGTTCGCGCGGAGTTTCTGGTCATTTACGCGAGTAATTCATATTACGATAAATTATCGACAAAATGGTAGTTCTCAATCGTAAAGTTGATGGCTGTTCATATGTCATATGGCTTCTCACTTTATTCCTAATCCTTTGGCTGGCAAGAAGATCAAAACCTGAACTTGAGCGCTTCAAAGAAAAACCAACATCAAAGAACATTTACATCACTTCTAAACTTACAACGATACCCGATAAACTTTGTTTACTTTGGACATCAACACGAGACAATATCTTAAGAAAATCCAACTACCCTTGTAAATACCGGTATGGTTTGGAACTTCAGATAAAACATAAGAATTTACATCTACTTCTGTGTATCCTCCTTGCTGGAAATATCGCCACTAATGCAGGCCATTGTAAGAACTATATTGTTCAGTTCCGAGTCGCAGCATGAACCAAAGAACCAGGAATCGAAAGGACTCCCCGCTACATGTCTTGTTCTGGACGCCCGTAGCTTAAAAAGCCAGCATGTTTTAGACGGGAAAAAGTTTTGTCATCTCTCCCGTTTCCAAGAGCTTGTTTACTCTGAGGCCGCGGATCTTGTCTGGGTAACGGAAACCTGGCTCACAAAAGATGTTGCGAACACTGAAATTCTCCATGACGATTACGCTATCTACAGAAAAGATCGGGAAATGCGTACTGGTGGCGGCGTAATGGTGGCAGTTAAATCAAGTTCATTCATTTCCTCACGCGATTTAGACATCGAAACCGATATTGAAGTTGTATCAACAGAACTTGTCACGACCTCAAATCTGAAATACGTCATCTGCTGCTGCTACAGGCCACCCAACGCGGATCAATCATGGTTAGAAAAATTTAACTCGTTCCTAGCAGAAGTTTCTTCACGCTACACCAACGTAATAATTTGTGGAGACTTCAATTTTCCCAAACTCCATTGGCAATATCCATCTGCCACTTCATCCGGTGATGACATTATGTTCACGGAACAATTGAATGATTTCTTCCTAACTCAGGTCAACACCTTGCCCACACGAGGAAACAACATCTTAGACCTAATTATCACTAGCCTACCAGATCAGATTGAGAACATTACAAAACTTAAGCCAATGGACAGTGGTTTGTTTACCGATCACGACAAAATCCTTTTCAATTTGAAAACGTCCATAAAAGCAGCTCCTAAACTGAACAGAACTGTTTTTGATTACCGTAGAGGGAATATGGACGGACTACGTTCAGCCTTAGCGATGACTAATTTTTCGAACATAATCGATTCAGGAGAAAATGTTAATGACTGTTGGGAACAATGGAAAAACACATTCCTTAGCGTGGTGAGAAATTACATCCCAACCAAGAAGATCAAAGGTAGAAATTCTCCCCCTTGGATTAATGGAAGCATTGTTCACGAGATAAGAAAGAAAGAAGCGGTGCGACGGAAGTTAAGATCATCTCCATCTAGTGACATCCTCCTTGCTAAATTTAAAGAGCTACGAATCAAAGTTAAAAAAATGGTCCGTGAAAGTCGTGAAAGATTTTACAATTCTCTTGATGGCATCTTCCAAACAAACCCAAAGCGATTTTGGTCGATCTTTAAGCTGAACAATAAACAATCAAGTGTTCCAGATATTATGTCAATGGGAAATGCCGCTGAACCTGAATCATCACAAACTTATGATGTGTCTACTCCTACTGCTATTGCCAATCTATTCAATCGCTACTTCACATCAGTGTTCAACACTGATCATGATAACCTAGAAGAAAGTTCCTCTCCACCATCATCTCCACCTTCAACGTCAGGACAGTCAGACCTCCAACTAACAATAGAAGAAGTCGCAAGAACACTCTTAGCGCTAGACACCACCAAGGCTACTGGACCTGACGGAATACCATCTCGACTTTTAAAAGAAACTGCGTGGCAGATTGCACTTTCCCTCACCCAAATTTTCAACAAGTCGTTAAGCTGTGGCGAAATACCTGATGAATGGAAATTAGCAAACATTGTTCCGGTACACAAAAAAGGCGAAAAGAGCCAAGTAGAAAACTATAAACCTATCTCCCTTCTTTCCATAATATCGAAAGTACTAGAACGTTGTGTCCTGAGAAATATACGTGATCATTTGCTGCAATTAATCAGTGATAGCCAACATGGTTTTATTCCCGGAAAGTCGTGTACAACTCAGCTATTAGAGGTTCTTGACTATATTGGTTCACTTCTGGATGGTGGCAAGCAAACTGATGTAGTCTACATGGACATGTCCAAGGCATTCGACAAAGTCCACCATAAATATCTGATAAGCAAATTAAAGAACGTCTATGGCATCTCTAGTAAACTCCTTCGCTGGTTTGAGTCATGTCTGATAAATCGCAAGCAACGTGTGACTGTGCTAGGAGCTACATCCTCCGCGAGACCTGTCCTGTCAGGAGTTCCACAGGGCTCAATATTAGGTCCCATACTGTTTCTGTTGTACGCGAACGACCTGCCGGATGCAGTAGAGCACTCCAAAATCGCCTCCTTCGCCGATGACACGAAACTATTTAAGAAAGTTGATTCTACTTCCGATGCCATCTCCTTACAAAGTGACCAGAGTAGTTTAGAGAACTGGTCAACATCTTCTGGCCTTGTCTTCAACCAAGACAAATGCAAATGTCAGCGTGTAACAAGGAAAAAGAATCCTATCAAATATGAATATAAGATCAATAACAAGTCCCTGGTGGTCACCGAAAAAGAGAAAGATTTAGGTATATGGATTACGGACACGTTAAACTAGTCTTACCATACCCTCGATCGCTGTGCGAAGGCCAACAAAATGCTTGGTTTCCTGCGTAGGGCTGCAACGGAAATTACAAATGTTAAGATACGCCGCACACTGTACCTATCAATTGTTCGCTCAACGCTAGGTTACGCCACTCAAGTCTGGTCACCACAATCGATCGACTTAATTACGAGGACAGAACGCATCCAACGACGAGCTACAAAGTTCATTTTGAAATTGCAATACGTGTGTGGAGAAACGTACAAAGACAGACTGATCTCCTTAGACTTACTACCAATCACCTACTGGCACGAGTACCTTGACATTATGTTTTTCTTTAAAGCTGTAAACAACATTATAACTGTCTCGAACGAAATCCTTCCGCAGCCAATTATTCCATCAAGGCTCACTAGAACCTCGATTGATACCAACCTGCTCTCCTTCCGTCCTCGCAAATGCAAGACGCTGACATACCAACGCTCTTTCTTCATCAGAGTAATAAGAACTTACAACTCTCTGCCAGAAAATCTAAGGCAAAAAGATCTCTCACTGGTAGATTTAGAACATTGTTGCTGGACTACTACCACAACGCTGCCAAGACATCCTATGATGTAGACGATGCCAGAACGTGGAGAACAGTCTGCTTAAAATGCAACACATCACGAAAACTCGTGCAACCATTATCGTGTTGCTATTAGTACATGTACACTATCAATTATCACTTTCAATTTATATATTAGTTGTGTGTTTTCTGTATCCAAGGGCCCACAGTAATTGGTTTTAAGCTGTTGTGGTGACCTTTTTGTTGTTGTCACCTTTTTGTCCAACCTTGAAACGCGGAGGCTGGGCGTATTTGCTGCGTTTCGATATGTTTTGTCTAGGTCTATGCCAAGTCATGTTGGGCTCATAAAAATCAAGCAATTCTAAAATGAATATAATTGTAAAATTAAACCGTCCTAGGTTAGCGGTCAAGGGTGTATGTTTTTGTTTTACTATCGTTCGAAACATAGACAGGGGCGCTGAAGTTCGCTCGTTTTCGGGTTGGACAGAAATGGTTGTGTGTACGTGTTGTTTGATTGTCTAATTATAGGCGAAGCTAAATAAAATAAAAAATAAAATAAAAAGTTAAAATTGAATGTCACGGAAGTCCGAGAAGACGGCAATATTTTCTAGTTCGCCTTGGTGTAAATTTCGCGTTTCCTGCATTATGATTAGCTGAGAGCGAAAGTGTAAACAAATGCGTTGATTGGTCGACCACGAAATCTGCCCTTGTTACCCAATAGTTGACCAAATATGGAGTTTTGACATAATATTCAACGAGATGATGTCATAACGCTGGATATGAAAAATCATATTCAATGTTATGAAAAAATCATACTCAATGTTACTTATGATTTCAAGCTGTGAAAACGCAAATACGAAATGTGGAAACATAACCAAAATAATATGCCTCGGTCGTGTTTGTAGATTTAAAGGAAACGACCTTGAAACTAATATAAAGACGAAATATCAACGAAAACTGTCGCAAAAGGTTTTGAAATATCTTTATTAACGTACTTATGAAAGAAAAAAGCAAAGTTTTTTGCAAATGGAAAAAGAACTGGTCATTATTTCGACGAATTTAAACCATGCAACTGTGCGAAGTTTTTACATTTTTTAAAAAGACAATTTAAATGGGTTTTCGCGAGGTATGAATAATTAAACAATTTGAATTGGGTTTTCGCAAGATATGAGTCATATGACAAATTACAAGCCCTCAGTTTGTGTAACTCAATCTCAACGTTCGACTTTGGTTGATAACACAATCTCCGGGTGTGAATCCAGGGTTTTTTATTTGTTTGTGTTGTTCTTCTAGATTATTTACCGTCAATTCTTTGACAACGGTTTGCGTATCGTACTAGCGTATATGGAAAATATCAATCATACGCTGGTATACGCGACGGGTACGTTAGGCATAAGTTGTATACGGTGGCATACGCATGGCCATGGATACGGAGAGGCATATAGCGCATATTAAACCATAGTTACATATGATTTATACACTACTCATGCGTTTCTCTCAAACGCAATAGTGGGACAGGGCCGGGCCATTAGAAAAAAGAAAACATTTTGTATATATTTAAAGTTTGTAAACATTGTAAATTAGCGTACATTGTAAATTAGCGTAACTACTACTAAATGTGTTAATAAACCATTACCATTACCACAATCTCATAGCAATAACGCTCTGGAAAAAAAACATCATTCTATTTTATAGCAGGTACGAAATTCTCCACCATTGTCTTCATTTATTTACTCAAAATAAAAAAGGAATGAAAACAGGCCATCATAATTTATCCAACCCCTCCCCCCCCCCCTCCCCAATGGCCCAATGTTTCGTAGAAAATCATATTTTTCGCTGCTCGTCTTTATTTTTTTCTTCCTGGCTGTCTGTGCCATATATAGTAAGATCTCCAGATTATCTTATCTTCGAATCAAGACTTGGCGCTTGTTGTATGTTAATGTGTGCATGTCTGTCTGTGAGTATATTCTCAGTTTTATTCTATGTAGCACGTCCCATTCATCATCTATATAAAGTTCAGAACCCAATTTGTGTATGCACGTAGGCTATACGATAAGTTCGAAGATCTCTGGTGTGGAGTTGTCTTTGTATGATGATACTGCAGTGTGTTTTTTTCGTCTGTCTGGAACAACTATGTTTTTCAAGTTGAATGTTTTGCAAGTTTAATACTGATATTTTAATTGTACAAATTGTATTCAACTCTTGCAAGGGACATCACAACACATAATTTTACGTTAAAATTTCGGCGATTGTCTGCCAGGTTCACACAGTGTTTCTTTGTGCTGTCTATTATTTTTGCCACCCAAACTCGCATGATTTCCTAGCGTGACTTAATATTCCCGCGTGATTACAACGCCTGATTCCAGACATAAAATTTGCTGTAGCTAAATACTTGTTAGTATGGAAATATAACTGCACAGTACCTGGTTTCATACTCGTATTTGTTCCTGGCATAACATCTAAAAATTTTGAAAACACGTCACATTTTTTTTCATAAATCTGGCCTGGGCTGCTGGGCAACGTTAAGAAATTAGAACGTCCTTTATACTTATTGTGAAATTAGAACGTCCTTTACTTATACGGCACGCTTGTAAATGAGTTTGGCGAGATTTCTAGACTGCGTATTTTAAGAAACTCAATTTCTTTCTACATTTTGTCAATGTATCTAAAAAACTGTTCTCCGTGAGACAGAAGTTGGACTGGTCCGAATACTTTTTAAATAATATTATATTAGCTGTGAAAAATCCGTAAAACTATGCTAAAATTTAAATAGGTACCTTGATTTACGTAACATATAGCTATTATAGTAAAGGGTTGTGCAGCAATAAGTAAACATACCCAAACTAAAACAACCATTCATTCCACAATTTTTAGTTTAGGATATACGTTCAAAAATATGTTTTAATGTAGTCTATTCAACACCGCGGGAAAACGTCTGCGTCTTCGTCAACCTTGACTTAAATTAGTCTTGCGAACGTGCTAGCTGTCAAAATGCTCAGGTTGTCAGTGACTCAATATGGAGTGGTTTCCATGTGTGTGTTACGTTATAAAATAGTATTGTTACCAGAAGACAGACAAGAATACGAGAACTCTTTAAAAATACCTAACGATACGCTCTTAGAAGCAGACCTTATGTTTTGAAGAAATAAATGTGTCTTAAACTAAATTCTTGAGCAAATTTATGCCCACAAAACCACGCTGCCGCGCCATTTTAAGGCCTACCATAACGCCCGCGTAATAAATAGCCCCTATATATCTATCCATAACAATCTTTAACGACTATAATGACTTTGGCAGCACACGTTCCAATATCCACAAACAATAACATTTCGATATATCTCGGACAAAACCTCTAACGCTCTATCCATTGGAATTGCATTAGTTGTACAAGTTCGTGTTCGCCTAATCCTTTTAATTTCCTCACCATGTGTCAACTACACTG